TTCATATGCCATACAATCCAGGTACAATATGCAGCTTAATGGAGAAAGATGTCAAAGTAAAACTGCTATGGCCATAAATAAGACTTGGAACTCTTTCGGACACTACTTCATGAACTTTATCTGATTGCCTGGTGTGATTAGAGAATCAGAGAACCTAAGGACATCAATAATAACACAACTAAGAAAATATACTAACATGAGAACTAAATCGAGACAAAATTAAAAATTAAACCTCAGCATGTTAGAATGGCTTAATCTCCTCAAGCAGGCTGGCATTATAAATGTATATATATCAGCATCTATTCATGCACACATTTAAGCAGAAACGAGTTAAAAATTATCAGTTGTCGCATATTTACGACATACTTTAGGGATCCGGCCAGGCAGGATGAATGTTGAAACCTATTCCAAAATCCCAACTTTCAACAAATCTAGACAATAACACAGTACCCAAAAAAAATGGGAAAATGCACAAGTACCCTCCTAGACTATGACCGAAATCCCAAAGACACACCTGAACTAAATTAAGGTCCTATTACCCCTTGAACTTATTCTTTTTGTAATTTTGTACACCTTTAGTCTTACGTGGCACATTCCATGACTCTTCGCAATTGAGGCATGTGGGAGATATTTGGATACCACGTAAATTTTTCTGTCTGAGACATACCTCCCTAGGCACCCAAATTCTTATCCATGGCCAAATACAGAAGGGAAAAACCTACCTCTGATCAAGAGTGTATAGCAAGACATAATAGTAAATAGACCATTTGTTTGTCCTTCCCAATCACAGTATCAGGTTTGGGCTGTAAGTTGGGGCTGCTGCTTAGTTGTTCTAAAAGCTGTCCTAGTTGTTTCTTCTTTCTAAGGAGGATTTGCTATCCTTCTTTTGGGTCGGCTACATAGTTAAACAAATCTGAGAAGGGAGAGTGTGGCAGTGGTTTGATACACGAAAAGAAGCTAAACAAATCTGAGAAGGGGAGTCCGGCAGTGGTTTGATACACGAAAAGAAGCTAAACAATCAAAAATTCCGTTTTTATAAGGTATAAATTATCTTGCCATATCAGGATCTTTTCCTATTCTCACCCTTGAATAATGAATGCATCTTTCTGTAGTTCCTTCCACAAATATTCAATGTGTGTCCTCATTCCTTTCTCTTTAGTTAGTTATACAAGTTCCATTTCGCTTACAATTACTTTAAATAGATTAAATGCACTTTGGAATTAGTAAAACCCTCAGACATGGGTTTCATGAAAGAGTTGAACCTCAAAGAATGCTATGACGGTATGAACATCAAGCAACCTTACATGGTTTATATAAGGAGAGATAATACGTATACGCATACTCACAAGGATTCAACCTCTGTCTCATACTCTTTATCTATTTTTGAGGAAAAATTAAATAAGAAACATCTTTCATGCTCGACAACTTTAGATCCAAAAACTAACAGGAGGGATAAATGAGAACAAAATGTCAAGAGAAGCTTACCTGGATTTGGGAAAAACCTTCTCCCGTCATTTGGGCATGAAACAAATAGAGCATTCTGAGGGTTGAAAATTGCTTCACATACCAAGGAAAACCACTCCCTCAACACACCAGGCCCGGTGGCTTCTTCATTCTCAAACTGAATAAATAACTGGCCTTGCAGCGACTTAGGACTCGCACGTCCAATGTACTCAAATGATTGTTCAAACAAACGAGACCTGCAAATGAGCATCTCGTACAACTTCTCATTCTTGGGCCTCCCTTCTTGAAGCATCTTCAAGGCAAATTGCTGCCTTATCTTAAAATTTGTTACCTCCTTGTGCTCAAGAATCCACTGATAATCCGTAGACTTTTTTGAAAGTCTAACTATCAGAAAGCACAATTCAACTCTTCTTTGCCTTATCTTCTCCCAAAACATTTCCTCCATACCCTTGTACAACTTTGAAATGCTTTCTAACTCCTTTAGAATTAAAAGATATTGCGACCAACAGCTTACAATAGCCTCACCTCTTTCTTCGTTTATCAAACCCAGTTTCTTTAGACACAACTCCAATTTTTCCAGCAAGTCACAAAAAACACGACGCACACCTTCAATCTCAAAACATTCATTTCCTGTTTCCCGTTGCATCAAGGAACGGAAACTAACCGGACTGCCAAATGCTTCTGGACGCCATATTGCACACTTCACCGGGTGCATAAACTTAATAAACTCACACACATCACTGTCCGATAACGGTATAAACTCAGCTGATTGCACACTCAATTCTAAAGCACGTGATAACCTTGTTGCCAACTCACGAAAAAAAGGAAAAACATCCTGCAATCTTGGCACACACTTGACATCACAGACATACCACTCCATCATTGAAGCTAAACTACTCCGGCAAAATATATATAAAGCATCATCAACACTCACAGCCCCTCTTAAAATCTTACAAAACTCGAACAATATAGGAGAAAACTGCTTATATACAGGACTGGCGAAAAGTGTCTTAAATGAATCAATAAATTGACAAATACATTCACGAGCCGCTTGTTTGGTAGTTAGAGAAGGAGATACATAAAGTTTTACCAGTGCTGCAGGAACAGAGGAGTGAATAAATATTTGTAGATATTGCTCGGATCCATCTGCGCCATCCTTTGGGGTCATTATGAGAAAATCTGTAAGCATCTTCATCATACAGGTGACATTAGCATTAACATCCGTGTTGTCATCGCAATTGCAGAGGTCATTAATAAGTGAATTTAAGTCATTCATCAGCTTCCACGTGTGAGGATGGCGCGTGCTTCTCATTCTTCCAACGAGTTGTAGAGTGTCATCGTTTTGTACACCACATTCGGATAACCTTTGTTGCAACTGAAGCTGTTTCCCTCGGTAGATTAATCGCTGTTCCATTCGTGGTACACCTGAGGTCGATTGAATTGATCGAATTCCTGTGATCGACTGGATTTTCCGGTGAACTGATGCAACTGAGTCTGAGGAATCAGCTTGAAGAACTAATGTTTTGCCTCCGGAAAACATACGGACGAAGAACTGAATGGGGTATGACAGAGAAATAGGGAGAGTTTCGTCGTATCTCATCCAGGCATCTGCGGCGGCATAATCATCTAACTTGCGTCTGGTATTACGGTACGCCATTGGAAGTTTGATCAGCAGCAGGAGGAAGCAAGGAAGACTTTAAGCTCACGAGTGTTTAGTTAAACGACTCGCACAAATAAGGAAGAGTTTGTCTTACCTATAAACGCTCATTCTTCCTCTATCCAAGTAGGAAAAGGTAATCCTAACCGAAATTTTAGACTTTATTATTTTTTAATTTTTTTTTTATACCTTTTTAGCTAATCATGAATATAAATATTTTTTCACGCGCCTAGAGTCACGTAAGATAAAAAGTGTACATAATTACAAAAAAAAAATGAATTCAGTGATATAAACTTGTGGATCGATTTTTTTATTAAAAAATCTCAAATCATGATATGAAATCACATGATGATATGGAATTATCATGTAATTTCATATAATGGTTTTTGGAGAATATGAAATCATGAGATGGAATCGACGTGAAATCGCATGTCCAAACGCTGATTTCATCTCTCGTGATATGGTGTTACATGATCAAACGCCTACTTAGTTTAGTTAAGATGTGTTTCTGAAATTTCGATCATATAGAGGTCAATGGCGAAGCTAAGATTTTTAACAAAAGGGTTCAAAATATAAAAAACTAAACATACAAACTAATCAAAAGAAGATTCGACATATACTGTATATACATGGAAAATATTTTAACCATAGTAAGATTATCCAATATAGCTCAATTATTGTTTATTACACAAACTGTTTTTACTCTTCTTCTTTTTTTTGATGAAGTACATCCTTGTTCATTTTGACGATTTGTCCACGTGCCCACTTTTTTAGTTATTTATTCTAGCTTTAATTGTGAACACTAACAAATTGATGAAAGAGAATTATTGATTTAAAATTTAATTTGTGGCAAATGTGAATTATTTTTTAGTAAATAATATATTAAATGACTCAAAATATTGAGAGGAATTCATATTTGAAACTTGAGATTGCTTAGAGGAGATTTGAGTTAATCAAGACTAAAAAAATCAGCTTGTGTGTAGGAAAGATGAACTATTGAAATTTATAAATATTGTATGAACAAAGTATATGGATGTATATACATTTTTCATACATAGTTATATATCATATCTCTATATATATATATACCTAATTATATATTATTTACACGCTATCTATACATTCCATCCTAATAGGCAAAAGTACAAGTTATAATGCCTTGACATTTTTATTTCTTTTGCTTAAGTAGTGCAATGAAAGGCTTTTTAGCCAAGTTTTGATCTCACATCTTGAAGCAAAGGGTCAGGCATAGTCCCCCCTTTTGCAACTCTTCTTTGGCCAATGGTATATTTACGCACTCCCTTTAAAATAGGTAGGAGGCCTGGGGACCTACTTTTTATTAAAGTTATAATAGGCTTGTTTTCTTACAAAATAAATATTGAATACAGAATTTTTTGGTTTGCTTATTGAGTACCTTTTTGTTGAAAAATAAAGTATTTATTAGAAGTTCGACATATTTAGAGTATTATGTCTCAAGAAAGATTAAATAAATTTTGTTATATTATCGATTGAAAAGGAATTATTAGATTCGAAAAAGCTATTACTAATTTTAATCTCAAAAAGCAAGAAGAATACACTTCATTTTGTATTTAGCTTGAGTTCACTAGTGTGTTTGAGCCGCATTACTAACCCAACAAACCAAAAGTAGATGCAATGGGACTGGGCAAGTTTGAACATTTGAGGAGGCGGGGTGTCCAATTTTTTCTTTAAAAAAAATCACGGGGAAGGAGCGGATTTGCGGTTTGCAAATTGAAATCTCACACGCACTAAAACTATTAATGTAAGGAAAAATTCATTTATAGATTCCACCTTAGCTTTCTAAAAAAAACTGATGAGCTATTTGTTCACAACTTTATGCCTCTTTTTTTAGAAGGTTACATCTATTTAGAAGAAATATTCCATATCACATGCATGTACCAAATTTGCCCATCACGCGGCACCAAAGCTGCAACCAACATAATTTTGGGTGATTATGTTAAGGCGATTTTGCATGACTTCCATAGACGGATAAGGAGGAAAACTCAGGCGATAAAAGCAAGTGTGCGAGGTAGGCAAGCAATCATGAGAGCCTGAGAGTCTGTAGATGTGAAGTTTCGAATCTAGACCACCAAAACCCTCAACAGGCAGAGACTTGATTGAAGTCCAGAAGAAGAGAAGCACATTTCTCTGCTCTGCCGACATACTTCCAACTATCTGCAGTAATAGAAAAGAAAAACTTTAAAAATGCTGCCCAGAAATCCACCACATGAAGAAAGAAAAGATCAAAGGTCTATACTTCTCGATAGTTAATACTCTGGAAACATAACAAGAAATAATTACCTCCCAGAACCAGGATATTTGAGGATCATCTTTTTTGTAGCCATTGTAATTTGTATGTTCTTTCCAGTCTTGTACAGAAACAGCAGTCTTACTCCCATGAAGCATCCTGTTAAGGTCTTCATGATCTAGGATCCTGTAAAAGGATTCCCGGAGTTCTCGGTCAGTAATTATGTCAGCAAAACCTCGAGCAAAATGGGCTACCTGATGAGCGATCGATGTCACAAACCGGTGTTTAACAAGAAGATTCACATAGTTATCCCTATTTCGACTGTTCACTATCATACTTCTCCCATTAGGGCAAAGCTCTTCAACGTTCCTACATCCCAATTCTTCATATTCACACACAAATGTTAGGCCTAGGATATCGTCATCCACCACTTTAGCATCCATCTCCAGTATCTCTTTGCACCCTCTGTACAAGTAGGGATCAGCATCTATAATGTCTTCAAACGAAATATCCTCTCCAGCTAGTTGCCTAAAGAACACACGATCAAACGTGATGCTTACTTGCACTCTATGCAACAAGGCCAATGCAATAATCCTCCCAGAGAAAACAAAATACTCAAGGTGCAATGGGTCCACTTTAGATACTGCAAGCACAAATGAAAATGAAGGTTATTTGCATTGTAGTAGAGAGAATAATATTATTTTCGTGAAAGATTGTATCAAACAGCTTTCTAGTTGCAACCATCTTATAAATGTAGTTGTGCCATACAATCCAAGTATACTAATGAGGAAAAAGACTGATGATACACCTAGTAAATACTCATTCATATGCCATACAAACCAAGTATACTAATGCACCTTCATTAAGAAAGATATCTAGCAAGAACTGACATGCCATAAATAAGACATACTCGTTCGATCATTACTTCATCAACTTTATCTGATTGCCTGGTGTGATTGGAGAATCAGAGAACCAAAGGACATCAATAATAACACAACCAAAAAAATATACTAACATGAGAACTAAATCAAGAAAAAAAATCTCAGCATGTGGCTTAATCTGCTCAAGCAGGCTGGCAAAATTAAACAAGAACTCAGCTTTCCTGCTGGATAGTAAATGAATATTGGCAGAAGTGACAAAAACTCAGCTTTTCTTTTGGATAGTAAATGAACTTGTGAAGTCAAGTATGGTATCAATGTCATTTACATTTGAGTTAATTCAAACTAACATTATATTCTTCCCTTTCTCGGCGAAGTATCATTGAATCTTCTCTCTAGATGATCCATAAGATTGCTGCCAGTAGGGAAAAACCTACCTTTGATCAAGAGTGTATAGCAAGACTTTAATAGCAAATAGACAATTTGTTTGTCCTTCCCAATCATAGTATCAGGCTAGGGCTGCTGCTCAGTTGTTCTAAAAGTTTTCCTAGTTGTTTCTTCCTTCTAAGGAGGGTTTTCTATCCTTCTTTAGTTAAACAAATCTGAGAAGGGGAGTGTAGAAGTGGTTTGATACACGAAAAGATGCTAAACAATCTGAAATTTCGTTTGTAGCGGGTGTTATCTTGCCATATCAGGATCTTTTTTTTTTTGGGTACTACCCAACCCTTGAAAAATGAATAGTTCATGTTCTATAGTTCCTTTCACAAACCTCGAATGTGTGTCCTCATTCCTATTTCATTAGTTATACTAGTTCCATTTTGCTTACAATTACTTTAAATAGATTAATACACTTTGGAATTACTTATGTAGCGACAAATCAGTTAAACCCTCAGACATCGATTTCATGAAATAGTTGAACCTCAAAGAATGCTACGAGGGTATGAACAGCAACATCAAGCAACCTTTACATAAAGAGAGATCATATGTATACGCATACTCACAAAGATTCAACCTCTATCTTATACTATTTATCTATATTTGAGGAAAAATCAGATAGAAACGTCTTTCATATGACATGTTTGTGTACAATAAATGTTTACCTGGATTTGGGAAAAACCTTCTCCCGTCATTTGGGCATGAAACAAATAGAGCATTCTGAGGGTTGAAAATTGCTTCACATACCAAGGAAAACCACTCCCTCAACACACCAGGCCCGGTAGCTTCTTCATTCTCAAATCGAATAAATAACTGGCCTCGCAGCGACCTACGACTAGCATGTCCAATGTACTCAAACGAGTCTTCAAACAAACGAGACCTGCTAATGAGCATCTCCCAAAGCTCCTCCCTCATGTGCCTCCCTTCTTGAAGCATCTGCAAGGCAAAACGTTGCCTTGTCTTAAAATTCGTCACCTCCTTGTGCTCAAGAATCCATTGATAATCTGTAGACTTTTTTGAAAGTCTACCTATCAGATAGCACAAACCAACTCCTCTTTGACTCATCTTCTCCCAAAACATTTCCTCCAATCCCTTATACAACTTTGAAATACTTTCCAACTCCTTCAAAATCAGAAGATACTGGAACCAACAGCCTACAATAGGCTCACGTCTCCCTATGTTTACCAAAGCCAGTTGGTTTTCCAGTTCCTTTAGGCACAAGTCCATTTTGTCCAGCAAGTTACAAATTATAGTATGCACACCTTTAAGCTCATTTGCTGCTTCATCTTGCATCAACCAAGGTAAACTGACCGGACTGCCAAATGCTGTTTGACGCCGTATTACCTGCTTTACCGAATGCATCAACTGAATAAACACAAGCACATCACTATCTGATAACTGTTTAAAATCCGGTGATTGTGCACTCAGTTCCAAGCTATGAGATAACGTGGTTGCCAACTCATCAACAAAAGGGAAAACATGATGCAATGTTAATACATGCTTAACATCATGGACATTCTCCACCATCATTGCCGCTAAACGACTACGGAAAAATAGGTATAAATCATCATCAACACCCGCAGCCCCTCTTAGAATCGTGCAGAACTCGAATAATATAGGAGCAATCAGTCTATATACAGTTGTAGGATTGGTGAAATGGTTCAGACAGTTTTGTACAAATTGACAAATGCACCCATGAGCAGCTTGTTTTGTAATTAGAGAAGGAGATACATAAAGTTTTACCAGGGACGAAGGAACAGAGGAGTGAATAAATATGTGGAGATATTCCTCCGATCCATCTGCGCTATAATTCGGTGTTTTTATCAGAAAATCTGTAAGCATGTTACTCAGACGGGTGACATAAGTAATAATGTTTGGGTTATCATTGCAGTTGCAGAGGTCATCAATAATTAAATTTAAGTCACTCATTAGCTTCCACGTCTGCGGATGGTGCATGCTTCTCATTCTACGGACCAGTTGCAGCGTATCGTCATTTTGTATGCCACATTCCGATAACGTTTGAGACAACTCAAGCTGTTTGCCGCGGTAGATTAATCCCTCTTGCATTGATGGTACAGCGGAGGAGGTCGATTGGATGGGTCGAATTCCGGTGATTGAGTGGATTTTCCAGTGAAGAGATGCAACTGTATCAGACGAATCGGCTTGAATGACCAGTGTTTTGCCGGAAAACATACGGACGAAGAATTGAATGGGACTTCTCAGAGAAGAATTGAAAAGGATTTGGTTATGTCTCATCCTGGCCGTGCTGGCACCGGTATGATCGTTGAGCTTGCGTTTGGTACTAGTGTCGTGAGGTAACTGGTCCGCCATTGATGAGCAACAAGAAAAGAGTTTTGAGCTCTGCAATAATACGTTAGAGAGGAAATGAAATTTTTCTTGACTATTAAGCTACAGCCAGCCTTCCTCCACCTGTGCACTAATTTTAAATTAATTTTCCTCTTTTGGTCAATTTCAAATATTTTTCTGTTTTAGTAATAAATAATCTTTGACTTTCTACATTTATAGTTAAGGTTTATAACACTAAAATATTTTACAAATGACTCAGACAAAAAAGAAGTCAAACCATCCAATATACTCCCCATTTATATTATTTTCCTTTTTTTTTTTTGTCTCTTGTATATATGTATTTTTAAGGTCACAACTCATAATATTAAAGGGTTCTTTTGAATACATTTAATACTATTTTTATTTAGAATTACAAAATAATTTTTTATTATTATTTTCTTAAATTTTGTGTCGTAAAATTACGTCATTCTTTTTTAAATCCAAAATCTTTGTTTTAAACTATTTTCCTTTTTGTCTCTTTCAAAAAAGAAATATGCAACTAAAATTGAATAGAACATGTTCTTCTTCTCTCACATGAAATTATCATTTCTAATTTATAAAAAAAAGGATTGAATATTCCATACATAAATTGTAAATAAAAATTAGCGTAAAAAAAAGGCAACATTCTTCCTCCATCAGCGCAAAATTCACCTAGCTACTTTATTACATAGTTTCAATAACTCGATAACAAACATGGTTCTCTCATGAAATTCACACACAAATTGTTAGTGTACCTCTATGGTAACCATTCACATTATTAGTGTACTGGCGTGGTATCTGATTCAATAATAATATATACCAACGTGATAATCAATTCAATAAATATATGTACTGGCGTGATATCCAAGTAATACATATGTATCAGTGTTAATATTTGATCATATATATATGGCATTGTACCCGATCAAATAAATTAAAAATATATGCACCAACGTGGTACCCATTCTCGGTCATCAATATACAACACAACCATAATCACATTGAATAGTAATCACACTTGTACATTCAAGTAAACACATCCATAGTCATCTTATACCTTGTCAGAGTATAAAACGAACCAACACTAATGGATCCAATATATGAGCCCTTACAAAGAGCTTAATGAAGAGTCGCCCCAATCCTACTAGGTACAATTATGAGATTTGAATTATCTAAATTCTTACCTGATTTGACGTTCAATACTACTTTCAAAACAATGCAATAATGTTGAATAACTTTATGATGTCTCGTTTAGAAAAAATTGATTGTCCTTGTGTTGAGTTAATACTCAAAAAGACTTTTTTATAGCTTAATGAAGAGTCGCCCCAATCCTACTAGGTGCAATTATAGGATTTAGATAATCTAAATTCTTACCTGATTTGATGCTCAATACTACTTTTCAAAATAATGCAATAATGTTGAATAACTTATTGATTGTCTCGTTTAGGAAAAAGGTTCTACTTAAGGGAAAAATTGATTGTCCTTATGTTGAGTTAATACTCAAAAAGGCTTCTTTATAGCTTTACTAAACTTGCTTTAAAAGACTATGCTTTATGAAAAAATGATTGTACTTTCCCAAAATTGAGATATTTTTTTTAAAAATAAACTAGCAATGATATTCTTTCTAACTAATATATGATATACTAGTTATTTTTAAAAAATAACTAGTAATTCGTACTTTTCTGAAACTTTTTTTTGAAATAAAACTTTAAGACTTGAAATTTACTTTACTCATGAAAATTATGTACATGAAATAATATGCCAAAAATCTAAAACGAACTCATAGCAAGATATGATATATTCTTCAAAGATTCATCACAGAGATAGATGTTCACAATTCATAGTTTGGTACAAGTTCATCAACATGGAGAAGAAATCTTGCTATCTTAGAAGATTCATCCAAAGAGATTATCCTATTAGTATAAAAGTTTGATAGGTGTCACGACCTAGATTATCGTGATTGACGCCCACAAAACCTCTCAGGTGGGAGAACCATTACTACAACCTAACTAAAAAATTTAACGAAAAACTAAACATTTGAAGATACGGAAACAGATTTAAATATCTAAAGAAATATATAGTTTTCATAAAAATCCAAAAATTTAACAAAACATCTATCATAACATTGCGAAAAATAACTCCTAAAACTTGAGAGTTAATGTACAAAACTCTAATAATGAATAGTCCAATAACAAGGGGTACAATCCCTAAAACTTAACAAATGAAATATCTAAAGTACTAGTCTAAGTTTGAAGAAAATAGACCAAGCAAAATAAGAACTCATGGAAGGTTCGAAAACTGGTTCACCCTTGAATTCGATCTCAATCAGTGATCTCCCAAATGAGGTATGCCAATAGCGGTCTGAAAACGCTTCGTACTCAATCAAAAAATAACAAGTGATGTATTAGTACACAACCATAGTGTACTGGTAGGATCACACGGCTACTCCCATAAGCATAATATATAACGAACAATCACAAGACAATAAACATGCATATATGAAATACAACTCAGTTTTCATTTTAGAGTTAACATACTGTCTTCCATCAACAATGACAAGTAAAGGTAAGCATAACAATCGGAAGTAGTTCTCTCATGGAACCTATATTCAAATTGTTAGTTTTGTCGGAACATGACACACGATACAATGCATATGTCGAAACGTGATACCCAATTCAATATATATGTCGAAACGTGACACCCAATCCAATATATGTATCGAAACGTGAACCCAGTTCTTTCTTTGTTGACTTTCTATAACGACAGGAACATATCATTACAATATGGTTCCAAATATTTTGAAGATTTTTTAGTGTATTGTTATGAATTCAATTAATATTATTTCATTATTTTTTATTTTTTATTTTTATTTAATTTCCTTTAAAATTGAAAGAGGAAAAAAAAAGAGTGAGCAATTGAAATAGATAAATAGTAGCTGGCACAAAATAAAATTATCCAAAGAGGCGAACGGGTTTGGAAAAGAGAAATTTCAAACAACTTTATAAAGTTTCCCTCTCCCGCGTACAATTCACAATTTACTCACGCACGACGAGGAAATTAACTCTCAGATTTTTGTTCGCTCGAGTTTTCTCGTCGGCTCTCGGACTCAGAAGCTCCCCATTTCACTGTGAGAGCTCCGCTCAGGAGCACAGAAGTAAGTCTCAAATTCTTAATTTCACGATTTCACTGCGACGTTTGGGTTTGATTTATGAGAAAACATTTCAACCTAGTTATTATTTTGTTGACTTGAATATGAACTATTAGTACTATGTTTGGAATTAATTTTCTGATTGTGCTAGAAAATTTTCTAGTTAAATGACATGGTGACAGCTTAATATTTAAATTGTGATGCCGTAGTGGTGCAGCTTGTAGTGCTGCTGTTTTTATTTGGTTATTTTGATATGAGATTTGTGTTTGTGGTGCAACTTGTAGCCTTTTTGTGTTGTTAGGAACTTGATAAATTAGTAGCATACAAGGCTTGTAGTGTTGTTACTGTTGTAGCTGCTGATTGACTGATTGAATAGCTATAATCTATATCATAGTGTTGTTTTGTTGTTCCATTTCTTTTCCTCTGGTCCTTATATAGTTATCACTTTCCCATTTAGTTGAAGTTTCAAGGAAGATTTCTTTCAACGATGTTACAATGGATGGGTGGGTCAAGGAGGAAAGTTGATACTGTAAGTGTAAAAGGAAATTTCTTATTATTCTGGAGATTTACTTGCATATTTCTGAATTTGTAGGATAATTTTTTTACATTTCAAGGGAAGCCTTGGAAGCACAATTGAGCAAATTTGAAATTAGGTGGAACTACAGCTCATTAGTGTGGTTTGTTAGTTGATCTCTAGTAATGCATGTCTCTGGAGATGGTAATGGATTTTAAGTAAAGTTGTGGTTAATACAGTTAAAACGAGGAGTTACATAAAATTTTACATAAAAGTATATTAAAAGATGAAGATCACCCTTTAGAGATTGGGAGCTCAAGCATATTCCTGAAGGAAATGAAAATATTCTTAATCCATGTAGTCCTGGCCTAAATCTTCTTGTGAAAAAGCCTGACCTCCCACACTTTCTTTACACGAGTTTAATTTTGCACAAGCCAGATTGCAGGTTTGTCGTGACAACATTCAGCTTACTCCACCCCCCAAAATTAAATTTTAAAAAAAGAAATAAGAAACAGAACATCCATCTTCTGTTGAAGGCTATCAACTTGTTCTTGTGAAAGTTTGATTTGTTCCCATCATTTTTAAAGATTTAATCTTATTGTGCTTTGGGAAATGTTTTCATACTAACATTTTCTCCTGTGATTTGTATTATCCTTTCGGGGGATGGAAAACCATCAGTCAAGAAGGTCAACACAGAAAAGGTATTAAAACATCACCCATCGGTCTTTATTTGATTGGATAATTGTTGTAGCTTTACTCAACCTCAACATAGGTCAACATTCTTTGATACTGTTCTCTTAACTTCCAATGTGTAGAGATTTAGACTAAGGGAATCTTAGTAGCTTAGGGGGTTGATTATTTGAACTCCCACCTTGTTGGTGAGGGTTCAATTTCCCATATTGTAATCCCCTCTTTCATTTCCACTTCCTTAACCTTGTTTAAAATAATAAAAAATGATTAACGGCTCATTTGGACATGCGATATGAATTCATGATTATAAATCGGATTGATTTGAAGTTGAAGTTTTGTTTGTACATGTAATTTGGATTTTTTCTCATAAACATGAAAACCTCATTGAGTTATGAAAACTATCAAAATTTCCGCAATTCTTATACAATTTTATCAAATGAGCAAATTATAATTCATAAATAAAATATCAGAACAGCCAAAGGCACTGAATTGATAAATCACATATCGCCATGCTCCTCTTATAAACAAATATTTTTGATTATAAACTTCCAAGTACACATAATTTTATGAAGATTCACTAGTCAACTAGTAACTAGTTATTCTTTAAAATAATCCTTCCACATAACACCGGGCATGAGTAATTCCATTTTAAAACGATGAGTTTTTTTTTTTTTTTTGACAAAATATAAACATATGGGTCAAGAAGTTTCCTAGTTTTTTTTTTAAAGAAAACTTATGGGTCAAGTTCTACATTTAAAACAATTTGAAATGGTGATTTGGAATCCCAAATCATGCTTTATGGAGAATTTGGAATATGATACTGTATGTCCAAGCATAGGCTAAGATGTAGTTGGTCTATCTTATAGGCAAAAACAGTACTTTGAGCAAAGAAAATGGCGAGAGCAGCAGAAAAAAAATGCTAGAGAGGGCTTCTTTGATGAGAAAAGCCCTTGTAATCAGCAAGAAAAGAATAGTCGTTCACTTGATATTCTGAGTTTACTGAACGTGTCAACAGGTTCTGGGGAACACAAGTCAAATGTCCACTCAGGTACTTTGACTTCAATTTTTGAACTCTCCAAATTTTAAGCATATATAATTATTTGCTCTCTGGGGTAATCGACAATAGCTTTTGGTGCTTGTTCATGTTTCTTAGTTTGACCTAACTCAGAGATATTATAGTCGCACAATCCCACTATTGGGTTACTGGTTGAAGTGATTTTCAAATGATTTATTTTGCTTTCATATTGTTACTCTGTACAACTCAAGCTGATGAATCTTATTATGTGAAATTTGAAAAGATATACACACACATAACACTATAATGTATACCTTTCTTGGATCTTGGGTAAGATCAAGTATATGTCCACCCTACTCTAATAAATTGTCTCTTAAGTTGCATAATGGTGCAAAATTGGTCTGCAATAAGTACAGTTGTCTCGTCCTTGACAGAAATAATGTGCCATTTTTGGTGAATGAAAAGATGTATATCACTTATTAAATATCTCATTTTGCCCACCCCACCCCGCAAAGAAAAAATACTACTTGAAGGTTTGTTGGAAGGATATAATGGTGCTTTTCCCGCAGCCCGTCAATCAGTTAACCGTCGACATATTTTCGTTATAGTCATATAGTAGATTGGTTATAGTAGGTACAAGGAGAGGTAGAGGTAGACCGAAGAAGTATTGATGATACGTGATTAGACAGGACATAATCTAATTTTAGGTTACCCAGGACATGATCTTAGATAAGAAGATGCGAAAGACACGTATTAGTATAGAAGGTTAGTAGTTAGTGGAGTGTTGTCTTGCTTTTCGAGAGTTTGGGCTGCTTGGTTTTTTTGTCGCTAGCTGTTTATTCTAGTTCTTCACTGGGATATCTATCATCATCTATTGTTTATTGTGTTTCGATTATCCCACTATTTTGTTGTTCGTGGTCTTTTAGTGTAGGATTTGCACTCCCCCTTTGTTAGTTGCTATGTTTTTTCCACTGTTTTCTTCTTTCTTGTACTTGGATTTTCTGTACTTGGGCCGAGGGTGTTTTTGAAACAATCTCTCTACATCCACGAGGTAGTGGTAAGGTCAGCGTACGCTCTACCCTCCCCTACCCCACTATTGGGATTTCTCTAGGTATGTTGTTCAGTTGTTGTTGACATCTGATAAAATTGGAACAATAAAAACATATATGTAACAGATCTTACTTGTCAAATAAGTTTATATCTCAACCTGCTCAGCTTGAGGAAGAAAAATCCTTTAAATTTGTGAAACATTAAATGAATGATGTGCATTTTCACTTACTTTAGATCTCACGAGAACTTTTGAACTAGTTGCTTACAGCATGCAACTTCATTAGCACTTATGTCCCAGTGCAATGATTTCCTATCAGGTACTGTTAGGATTCTTCTTTGACAAATTTGTTTACTGTCATTTCCAAGCCTTCAATGATATGACAACCTTATATACATTGTTTATGAATTATAGATCGCAATAAGGAATTGATACAAAATTTCATTATACAATGTGACCGTGTTAAAATTGCACTTATGTCAATTTTCTTTATTTGATGAGTGAACCTATTCCCTTCAATAACTGAGTGATTCTCGATCTCCAATTTGAGGCCTATTTTCTTTTTCATTACTATGTTAGCAAGGCATATTTATGAGGACAATCAAATGCTGCAGCCTTCTCCAGTGATTCAAACAAAAGAAGACATTTATCTTGTCTCTCTTCAACATAAGGAAGGTAGTACACTTGCTTTCTGGCAAAAGCTGGTTTTCTGAAGAGTATAATTGTACATTCTTGTCATTTGGATGTATTAAGTATGTGATTCATTTTCCTAATAGGAACGTCACCAAGCTCCCAAGATAATGCAGCCTGCCCAAATCGGTAAGTATGTTTATGCTGAGTGGATTGTCCATATTGAATTGCATAAACATAAAAAATGTCGTAGGTTTATCTTGTTGAATTGCATAAATACATATATAAAAAAAATCCTTGAGGAAGCTTGCTTGAGTATATTTTTAATAATAAAAAGATGCTCAAAAGTGTAGATGGAAAAGCTTTAAATCCATGCCTGATTTGGATGCTAGCAATTATTAGAAGGTCCAGAATCACCTTAAACTGCATTCTTAGTATTCTACATGTTTGGTTTTGATGTCAATGAAATAAATTTTTTCCTGAAAAAAGTTCAACTAATAGTTGATATTTCTCAGAGCATCAGTTGGAGCACCTGGAGGTCATGAGAGAGGCAATGATAAAATAAACCCACTGGCAAACTCTACAAGCAAACGTGAGTATACTATTCATATGGAAGTGTTTGCCTGCAAGCTTCTGTAGTACTTACCTGTCAAAAGAAAATTTAAATGGCTTGTTAAAACATCATTAGCAATAGGATTAACATTCTGATTGGAGACACTTCTATTTGAATTTCATCTTATTATTGTAGTTGAAAGTAGAAGTTCATGGTATTACATCAAGATATCCTTTTGTCCATAGCTGACAGATGTATATCAACTGTAAATTTAATGGCCCTACTTTAGAAAAAGCACTTCCCAAGTATATTCTCTGCTTTGAACTGTCAGAGCTAGAATAATTATTACCATATATACTAAAATCTCAATTTTGCAGAACTCTCTATTTTTGACATACTTGGTGATGATGGACCGAACTGTGAGTTGGAAAGTTTAACTCGTGAAGGCCATGTTGCATTTTCGATTGAAGGTATATTCGATGGTTGACCATGAAGCAATTACATTTATGTTTTTTGAAAGACTAACAATTTTGTACCAAGGGTGTGACCTAGTGGTCAATGAAGTGGATTGAGAACCATGAAGTTTCGGGTTCAAATCCTAGCGGAGACAAAAAAAAGCAAAACACTAGGTGATTTCTTTCCATCTTTCTTAGCCTTGATGGGCAGGATTACTCGGTACCTGTTGGTGGTGGGAAGTGACAGGTATTCCATAGAATTAGTCGAGGTGCGCACATGATTGGTTCAGAAACTACAATTATGAAAAAAAATCCTACAAATGAGTAGAAAAGCTCAATTAACTTCTTCCATTTTCTTTTCTACTTAATGCTCTTTATAGAAATCTTTTTAAATACTCCTTTTGTTTCAATTTGTTTGTCTGGTTTTGACTTGACATAGAGTTTAAGAAAGTAAAGACTTGGTTCTTGTGGTTAAATATGCTATGTGGAAAGTTGGCATTAATAAGTTTCAAAAAAAGAAAAGTGACATTCTTTTTTAAATGGACTACGAAGCAAAGTTAGATGAACAACTTAAAAATGGGTTGGGTATCATATTACTATTTTTCTTAGCATTAGTCTTTGAGAACGTGTGTTGCATGTTTATCCTCTATCATTATTATAATAGAAAATTAGCGATTACACAACAAATCTATAGAAAATTATCTAGCAAAAAAATGCAAGCAATTGTGCCTAACGGAAAAAATCATGTTAGAAAGATATGTGCCTACCTCATTCGTATTGGCACAATTCGTACCAAAGTTCTATTCAATTATCTACAAAATCATTACGTCATTTTTTATCTCATAAGTTGTTGGACAAAGTTTTAGCAGTTTATTTTCATGTGAGAGATCAAACTCTTAAACATCAATTAAAGTTATTAGCTACATGATTAATATGATAAGCAAAAAAACAAGAAGCTAAGCAAAAAGCAGAAGAAAAAGATGCTTAAAACAACATGGGAGAAGAGCTTTATGCTCTTGTAACCAAATTCAAATATTGCCATTAGTAAAGAAAGTGAATGAAAAAATAAAACATTCAAAACTATCTCCGGGTAATAATATATAGCCATATACTACAGAGATTTGTGAAAGCTTCTCAAATTAATATCGCTAAAATTAATATTGAAATGATCTAAACACATGCATATTATATAAGTTAGAGAAAAGATACCAATAGGGCCATATGACGAGAAGATGAAAGGGTGAAGATGGAAGACAACTAATAATTGAGGAACCGTTTTGACAAAAGGAATGATCACAACTATTCAAATTAATCACATTTTGCTACTGGAAGTATTTATAATTAACAATTAATAGGAGTAACTTTTATGTAGTGAAGATAAAGGTGTGCAAGGTTTGTCTTTCTTCAATATATTTTTTAGTTTATTTTTAAAATTAGAATGCACATTTAAATTAATTTCTGACAGATGCAAGAATATGAGAGTTATGGTTTTGAAGTGCTAGAAGGTAAATTATTTTTTGCTACTAAACATTGTTATGAGTAGATTTTAAATGAAGAGTAAATGGTCGTTCAATGTTTGATAGATATTTCATAATTCAACTTTTAACTTTAGGAGCTTCCCACTTATGGAATAAGTACGAATGAATGAACGAATGATGATGATGATGATGATATGAAAAGGGTGGATTTTGAAAAGTTTGTCGTGTGGAATCCCAAAGGACCAAAATAGATGCAATGGTTTTACTTTAAGAACATATGCAAATATTAGGCCTGCGTTAAAAGCTGTTGTTGTTGTTGTGGCTCCTCTACTATATATATATGTGTGTGTGTGTGATATATATATGATTATTTCTTCATTTTCCTTTCTACTTTATGCTCTTTATGGCATCATATCCAGTTTGCAGAGAAGAGTACGGAAGAACTGTCTATATTTGTGTGGCTTTCAGATCTCCTAGAATGAACATTTGATCAGATACCTTTTTGCCTTGCTTAGGTTTAGGTAAAGTTGAAATGTCTACCCCAGTCCATTCACCGCAGCTACCTGGCAGGTAAATATACTCTATTAATCAAGAATAACAGACCATGAATAATAATTTTGCAAATTCCATCTTGACAAGATTTCTATGATAAGTATTGTTAGGACTACCCTTGGAAGTCAAAGACTATGAATAGGTTGTAAATTTTAATTAACTATGATAGCTGCATACATCAGTCCTATCGACTGAAAACACCATCTGCACATTTAGGCGACTTGCCTTACTTTCCCAGGTTTCGAGGAGATCATCTGGCTGTTAACATGACCTTTTGGATGATAAAGTGTATGTTTTAACTAAATCCGCTTCGCCACTGACATAGACCTTCATAAACAGAGTATGAGACATTAATGTCATGGATGTATTTTACAGTAATGCTACTTCCAGCAAGAAGGAATTCCAAATTTCCGTAGAAGCTCTTAACTATTTCCAGATAAGCAAAAAATTAATACAGGCATTCTATAACCACCAGATTCCTTGATAACGTTCCTGACTTAGCTGACATCAGTACTTGATAAGCAAGGGTGTTTGGATACCACACTTTTCTCCAAACAGCTTAGCTCAGTACTCTAGCCACTAGAAAGTGATCTGAGACTCTGAATCCCTCTCTGAAATGTTTAGTGTTCTTAATATTATGTCTTATATAACCAAGCCGTGGATATCCTTTCGATCAATTCACACATGCTTCATGCTTATCTTACATTCTGGAATTCTAGATCAGTTTTTGGAGAACTATACACCTGATTGCTTCTCAGGTTGCTATATTTAGATACACAAGCTTCCTAAATAATTAGTTTTTACATAGGACCTTAATCAAATTGGCATGCTTAATGGTTTTAGTTCTTCATATTGCAGTAAGCTGAATTAGGTGGCACTTCTTTTGTGCTTTGTAGCTACAACCGCACTGAGTTGCATGGAAATCTTTTTTTGAGGATTCAGTTGCATGGAAATCTTTGAAAGTGCTCCTTCTAAATGCTTCTTTTTATGTTGCATGACAGCAGACTCTTATCATATGGTAGGCCCTCACCCCCAAGGGCAAGGAGAAAAACTCTCTCATCTGACTATCTTAACAAAGGAATAGATGGAATTGAACTTGAACTGGTGAGAGCACTTCCTGATGCTATTACATTCTGTTTTAGGTTGCTAGCTTGCTACATGTTTACTTCTAGAGCTTCCTTCCAATGACTTGAACTCCTATCTTTGTTAGTGTCTCCTTTCCGTGGGATAGTGGACCATTACCTCTAGAAATCTTTGCGCTTTTACTTCATTTCCTATAATTTGTAACTTACTGTTGTCAATTTCTTTTTGTTTCACTTGTGTAGGGTGTTTAGCATGGCATTAGTTTTTTGTTGATGAAACTATTTTTTTGTGTTCAGTTGTCTAAATTCTTTTCACCAAAAGAAGGAAATTGACTTTTGTGAGCATATGCGCTTTTCGGCTACAATTATATAAACTTACACCAGATGGCGTTCTTCAACGTAAACCTCATGTCAACCTGTTTTGAAACACCGCACCTATGCCCTATCTCTACTTCCTATCACTACCATATGTCACATATATTTTTACCCTATCAAACGGCATACGGTAATTTAGGAAATACTTAATAAAGTTCTATAAAAAATTATTCCATAACACACCCTTCATCTACTGTATCTTATGATATCAAACGGGCAAAGGCTTTGGCAATAGGTGTTAAAACCAAGTTCAAGGCTTCCGACAACTAGATGTTTAGTTTCAGAATTCATAGCTTCTTAAACGGTTGGCATCTGAATCTGAAATCTACAGATTCTGTGTTTATTGGTTCAGTTGATGTAAACCAGCATTTTATGCTCTTGATCTCGAAAAGTGGTGAGATACCTAAGTTCTATTCCATGCAATTGTTTTTCAATATATGCGTGCTTTATATATACACACACACACTCCATATGTGCATATGCTTATTTTGTCAATAAGCCCCTCACCATCTGAAATGAAAAATGAAAAATAAAAAACAGTTGGTTCTTTATGCAAGGATTACTGCAATGCAGATGTCCATCCCTCATCGGCTCAGTCATACTTGGTTATATGGAGCTCGAATTCCTGATCTCTTCGTTTCTGGTTATATTGACAAACTACAGGATAGCATGATGGTGGATGTAGAACGACCTTTTCAAACGATTCCTTTTGATGGATCCTCTTGCTCCAGGGGAGTACAAGATTTACCTGGTAGTGCAGAGCATACTTTACTAGATACCAAATGGTTCTCCTCTAATAACAACTTCACTTATCTGTACACTTCTGAGGATGACGAAATCTTCGGCAAAAACAAGGAAAATTCAAATACAATTTTGAATGGTAGGGTCCTTAATATGTTTTTTCCTTATCTTTTCTGTCTTCTGCAATGACACCTACAAAGTGGTGTTGAGTTGGTTTCTTGAGTATCATTTTTATTTAGGGTAAATCTCTGTTCATTTTTCTGGGAAAAGAATTATAATTCAACTTTGTAATTCATTTGGAACCGTTTGTTGAGAGTTTGCAAAATCAATTTTTAACTTTTCGGAAAATTTATTTGTTTGAACTACTTTGCAAACAAGTTCCAGAAGTCTGCAAACTTAGACAAATGCCAAGTTAATAACATCATAGCTAGTTAACACATTTAAAGTTCCCATACATATATCTTTATTAAGCTTGAATTTTCGACATTGTTTTTGACAGTTCGCCAATACTAATAACATGTTTCTCTTGAGAGGTTACAGAATTAACCCTGTGGTACAGAGCTTAAAATTGGAGAAGTGCTTTTGAAGTTTCATAGAAATTTCAAACCTTTTGGCACTTCCACATCTTCTAAGGTTTTGCTTCGTTTTACAAGTGACATGACTACATCGTGTTTTATGCTTTACATTCAGCAAATTCCAGCTTCCCACTTCCTGAAAGCTTTCATGAAGATTGTGGTTCACGTCATTTAGATGCTGTTTCCACTGATTTTTGGAATAGCCAAAGTTGTGTGATGCGAGAATTCAACTTTGAGGACTGTTATTATCAAGATTTTGCCAATTCTTGTAGTGCCAGAAATTATGGGAAGCAAGACATTTATTTTGATGACTCTTATCATCAGAAGCAAAGGTTTCCCCATGTATCACTTCAATCTTTAATTTGATGGTGTTTGTGTTCTATACTGAGGGTCTTCTCCTTGCAGGATCAGGAAAGCCAAATCAGAATTCAACATAATAGGTGCTTTACATTTCTGCTATAAGAGATGCTTTTTTGAAAGATGTACATATTCTTTTACCTGTTTTTCTTCTCATGGTTCTATCAAAAAGTCATTTAAATTCTCCAAGTTCAAAAAATATGAACTGTTCAATATGGGGAGCTAAAGTGGAGTGTTGTTGAATAGTTTTTCCTGGTATTATTGAGATTATAGTTTGGGCCAATAAGTTGCATTTTCTGTGGTTTGATGTGTTATTCTCTCTTTAACAGATTCAGCAACTCCCTATACCAAGCACTTCAAACCAGAGAATTGCAGTGTCTCAGATGGAGAATGGTAGGCACATTTTGCTGTAGATGTGAGGGGGATTCTTTAATTGGTTTAAACTCTTCTATTTCTTTTTGGCAGGTGTTCCATGGGATGTACAAGTCCTCATTTAATGGATTATATAGACCATGTTGATAGGACATGGTTTGCAAATGAAGATGCAAGAGATAATTTGAGTTTATTGAGGTTGCTATTTGAAGCTCTTTCTGTTTACTGGTCTCTCTGCTGGGCCTTTTCATTTTCTAATGAACTAATCCAGTTTATTCTTGTGGATATGTTGACTTCTCTGCAGCGAAGAGTCATCCACTGCAGGTCAATGTCATTTGTACTCACTGACTTGTTGACTTGAGCAATATAATCATTTTTATTTTTCTCCATCCAGTGGTGGGTGACTTGGACACACAACAAAATATGAACTCAAATAATAAAAGGAGAAGCCAGGACGTATCTGATTGGAGGAAAGAGGCAAAATTCTGTGAGAAGTTATTTGCTAAGGAAAGAAACTGCAAGAAGAATGATATCCAGCAAGGAAAGCCAACAAAGTTACCATGGCTACCGAACCAATCAAGAGCAAAGCCAGAAAATCACAGTTCTGTATTTTATGAGAAGAGGTCAGACATGAAGAATGATGGACTGAGTGAGGCCAGATGTGGTCCAGGAGAGTCAAATTCAAGATTCAGATCTTTCTGCCAAGCTTCAGTGTCCAAAAGATATGCATCCACTTGCTCCGACTTCTTGGTTGGAGATGTCCTTGCTGATCAGGAGCCTAAGTTACAAGTTGACTCCCTACAGAACCTCGAAGGGTCTATTGAATATCCTGGTGAATATGCACCCTCATGTTTTATGATGGAACCAATGACTTTTGAACTAGATAGCCCCGGATGCACCTTCAGGAACTTGTTTCAGGATGCCAAGAAGGGTTGTGGTACTGAGGATTCATTACATACTCTCGGTTCCCATGGCACACTAACAGGACACATTGTAAGAGATGTAGGTAAGCAACCTAATTTCCTGAGCGATGGAGATAAAGGTATTGATGTCCTACCATTTGATAGCAGCCAGTTTGTCCCCAATACTGAAGTTTCTGGTAGGCGCAAGGGTTTCTCATCAGGAAAGAAAAAGTCAGTGGATGGATCAAGTTCTGTCAATGAGTGTAGTAACTGTGAGGAACCAAAAGAAAAAACTCCAGAAGTGAAGGACAGGACAGGATCGTTTAACTACTCTGAATGTGCAGAAGAAGCTTCTTCCTCTGTAGAGATGTCCACTGTATCAAAGGGGGATCAGGACAGTTCATCTAATCAGGATACCCAATCTTCACTTAGATTAAAAGCAGAAGATGAAGGTCGAAGATTTTCCTCCTTTGCGATCCTTATTTTTAAATTAGTCCTTCGTTTATAATTATACGAAGTGTCTTTGTGCTTTGCTAGTTACAAAGGATGACAGCAGGTCTTCATCAAAAGAAGGAATGATAACTACACGACAAAGTCACAACGTTCACCAAAATGGGCAAGTTATGATGCTTGAGGCCGTATCCTTCAACTTTTACATGTGCAGTTTTTGAAGGGAGCACAGAATTAATGAACTTGGACGATGGTATGGTACTCTTATCAAGTTTTAATAGATAAATGCAAACATGAACATTGTAATTCTATAGTTGGCTTTTTTAGCATTTGACCTTCATGTGTTTTTCGCTATGGTTTAGACATATGCAAGTTATCTTGTGTTCTAGTGATGCATGACTGCCATGACTATTTAAGTTGTAGAACCAGATTTAGGCTCAGTTTTGATGCTTGTGCAGAATATATCTTTTTTAGGGGGAGACTAGAGAGAACATGCTTTTAACAGAAAACATTAGAAATTAAGACGTAGTGACGTGATTGACTCAAAATAGCTAATAAAATAGATAAAAGAAAGATAATGTTGTCAATGATCACTTTCCCTTGAATTGTTAGTCAATAATCAATAGTGCCATAGTCAATTTGTGCTCCTTTTTTCTTTAATTTTTCGCTTATATTCCTGTCACAGTGCACTGTTGTTCTACCTCCCGATGCATAGCCATCAACTACATGGTTTGGTTACTTTGGTCATATGACACCTCAATTTCGTAACATCTGATTGTTTGGTAGGCTCTAGTATAAATTCTTTAGCACCTTCATGCAAGCACCTATATTGGTAAACAAAGTCAGAAGATAAAACACGGCATAATATGTCTAGTTTTGCTACAAACTAGAAGCAATTATTAGGTTGCTGCTTGAGTAATTACTTCTTGATTCAGGTAAGACGTTCTCGTATGATACAATAACCACAAGTATCTCTTTCAAATTAGAGGGTCCCTGTCATTTAGAAATGTTTCAAATAGTGATTACTTCTGAAAGTGTGGAGGCAAAGAAACTTTTGGAGAGGGAGGGAGAGAGGGTGTCCTTAAGGCCCACTTAATACCTTCAGTAACGATCAAGTTATGTTCGTTTCCTGCAATATCAAATCAAAGAAAGTGTATAAATGCACAAAGTTCTAAAAGATAACATGTCATACATGCTGATCACAGGCATTGAATGATGGACTGGTGATAACACATCACATGCATTGAACTGACCCACTAGTGACACTATTTTTTCCAACCATAAATATATAATGCCTAATATAACCTGATATTTTCTTTGTTCCATGGAGGCAAACATTAGTGACTAGAGCATAAATAAATATGAGCAAATGTTGGACTGTGAAAGAGGTATGGAGCCTCATATTGTATGTTTCTTCATGGTGTTTAGCTACATGGATGAAGAGAGTAGTTATCAAAGTGCTGCCTACTCTTGTATTCTTGCTGTATTGTCTCTCCATAGCCCTACTCTTCTGCCCATTCTCTGCAGTAGTCACGGCAGCAAGGAACAGCTCAAATTCACAACTCCTCATAACTTGAAGAATTTGGTAGTAATTTTGTGAAGTAGAACACATTATTTGGAGTGTCAAAAGAAATTAGTCACAAATTCATTGCTTAAGCAAACAAGTTCATTACATGTTCAATGCTTGCATAAACCATAGCCATGTTCTCTATTAAGTCTATCGACTTGTTACATTGGGTACAATTTGCTATAGACATTCTAATTCTTCAATTTCTTTAGAGTAGTTGGATTCTTAAACCTTTATTAATGCATCTTCAAATGGTAATTTTATTTTGTCTACAACTACAGGAGTGGGAATGCCAATTAGTGGAACTGAGGGCAGAGCAAGGCAACATTAAAAGACTCGTGTACTTGGTATAAACTACAGCTGAGTAAAGTAAATAATGGCAAATGTCTGCTTATTGATGTTCGCTAAGAGGTATACAAGGCTGCATGAATTCAAGATACGTTCATACATTCACCTTTTCTTGTCTTACCGAACCTCACACATGATTTTTCTTTTTGACTTCTTTAATTCAACGTCATAATTGAGTTCTAAATATTTCCCTTGTAGATCTATTTGTTTATCATTATTTGAGTTTCTTATTTTCATTTAATTTTTTAATTTCATTTTAGTGCAAAATATGAGAAATAAAAAAGAAAAAGAGTGACTGAAAAAAGAAAAAAGTTAAAAGTGAACTTTTTACAACTATATTGTAATTACAAAAAAATATGGGTAAGAAAAGGATGAACGCGGCTGCGGTTTTTGAATAGAGATCTAATCTTTAGTTTCCGCCTTTATTACCTTCCATGTCTTCACCATTAACTTTTTCACTTGCTCAAAGTTTTAACCCAAAAAATATTTCTTGTCTTATCAATGAATTGAACACAAAGTTTAGTCTTCTGTGACAAATAATTAAAGATGTAGATCGAAGTCTAAGCCTATTGCATTTGTCATAACAATATAGAAAAGATAAAATTTCTTTTTTATAAAGAGAGGTTGTTCTGATATCTTGCATCCCATCAATAAAAACTATATGCATAACAAGAAATTGATAAATTGATATTTTTATTTGAATTTCATTGGAATTTTTTATTAAGCAAACATGATATACTCTTTCAATAGAAAGTTGCTTTGGACTCGTTTGAACATGTTCCATTTCTAAGTCTTAACAAACGTCAATGAAAAAATTCGGTCATTTTATTTCGTGATTTTCGGAAAAAAATAATTCATGGGATATAACACACGAAAATTGATAAAATCTGTCTTTGTCTTTTTTTTGGCTCGTTTGACTTGAAAATGCACCATTTTCTCCACAGGGCGAACTGGTTCCATTTTTAAGGTCTTAATAGATGTCCATGAAAAATTACGACTATTTTGTTTTGGATTTCTGAAAAAAAAACATATTCATGGCTATAACACACAAATTAGTAAAATCTGTCTTTTCCTGCTTTAGGATTCGTTCAAACTTGAAAATGTATTTTTTAATCTGCGGAACGAACTAATTTTATTTCTAAGCTCTCAAAAGACGTCAATAAAATATATCGGACATTTTATCTTTGAATTTTTCCAATAAAAAAAATTCATGGGTTATAGCACACGAAAATGGGTAAAAAAAAATTCTTTTGCCTACTTTGGACTCATTTGAACTTGAAAATGCATCATTTCCCCGCGGGATGAACTGATTCAATCTCTATGGTCTTAACGGACGATCATGTAAAATTGTGGCCATTTGGTTTCAGAATATCCGGTTAAAAAAAATTCATGGGTTTAACACACGAAAATTGTTAAAATCTGTCTATGTCTTCTTTATGGGCTCGTTTAAATTTGAAAATGCACCATTTTTCCCTACAGGACAAATTGATTCCATTCCTAAGTCTTAACCAACATCCATAAAAAATTTCAACAATTTATTTTGGAGTTTTCGAATTATAAAAATTCATGGGTTATAGCACACGAAAATCGGTAAAATCTGTTTTTGCCTTCTTTGGGGCTCTTTTGAACTTGAAAATACACCATTTTTCCCCGCGTGATGAATTTGTTCCATTCTAAGGTCTTAACGGACATTCTTGAAAATTTTCAGTCATTTTGTTTTGGTATTTCCAGATAAAAAATAATTCATGGACTATAGCATGCGAAAATTCATAAAATCTGCCTTTGTCTTCTTTAGAGTCCGTTTGAGCTTGAAAATGCACCATCTTTCCCCACGGGATGAACTGACTTCATTTCTAATCTCTTAACGGATGTCCATGAAAAATTTAGACCATTTTATTTTGAGATTTCCGAATCAAAATAAATTCATGAGATATAGCACAAGAAAATTGGTAACATTTGCCTTACTTTTGGAGCTCGTTTGGAATTGAAAATGCGCCATTTTTCTCCGCAGAACGAATTGGTGTCATTTCTAAGGTATTAATGGATGCTCATGAAAAATTTTGATCATTCAGTTTTTAGATTTTAGGATATTCAAAATCGATGGGCTTTAGCTCAAGAAAATCAGTAAAATCTACCTTTGCGTGCTTTAGAGCTCATTTGAACTTGAAAATGCACCATTTTCCCCGTAGAACGAACTGTTTCCATTTCTAAGTTCTGAACAGACGTCCATGAAAAATTTCAGAAATTTTGTTTTGGAATTTTTGGATTAAAAAAAAAACAATGGGCTATATCACATGAAAATCGGTAAAATTTGTCTTTGCCTACTTTGGGGCTCGTTTGAACTTGAAAATGCACCATTTTTTGATTAAAAAAAATCAAAGGACTATAGCACAAGAAAATCGTTAAAATCTGTCTTTCCCTCTTTGTGACTCGTTTGAACTTGAATATGCGTTATTTTTCCCCGCGAAATGAATTGGTTCCATTTCCAAGGTCTTAAATGACATCATAAAAAAAGTCATTTTGTTTTGAGATTTCTAGATAAAAAAAATTTATGAGCTATAGCACACGAAAATTTATAAAATCTTTCTTTCCTTGCTTTATGGCTCATTTGAACTTAAAAATGCACCATTTTTATCTGGAGGATTGACTGGTTCCATTTCTAAGGTCATAATGGATGTCCATGAAATTTTTTAGCTATTTTGTTTCGTGATTTTCGGATAAAAAAATCATGGGCTATAGCACTTAAAAATTAGTAAAATCTATTTTTTCCTACTTTGGATCTCGTTTGAACTTGAAAATGCATCATTTTTTCACTAGGGATAAATTTTTTCCATTTCTAATATCTTAAAAAATGTCCATAAAAAAATCGATCATTTTGTTTTGAAAGGTCATGATAAAGAAATTCATGGACAATAGCACAAGAAAATTGTTGAAATCTTCGTTTGACTTCATTGAGGCCCGTTTGAACTTGAAAATGCATTATTTTTTTCTGCGTAATTAACTGGTATCATTTCTAAGGTCTTAATAAACATACATGAAAATTTTCGATCATTTCATTTTGGGACTTCTTGATAAAATATTTCATGGAGTATAAAACACAAAAATTAGTAAATTTTCCTTTTCCTACTTTGGGGCTCGTTTGAAATTGAAAATGCACCATTTTTTCTCGCAAGTTGATTTGGTTCTAATCTAAGGTCTAAACAGACGGTCATTATAAACTTTGGCCATTTTGTTTTAGAATTTTCGGATAAAAAAATTGATGAGCTATGACATACTAAAATTGATAAATCTGTCTTTGCCTGCTTTATGACTCATTTGAACTTGAAAATGCATCAGTTTTTCCTGCGGGATTAAATGGTTTCATTTCTAAGGTAATAAAAGACGTCCATAAAAAATTTCAGCTATTTTGTTTTGGATTTTTGAATAAAAATTCATAGACTACAACACACAAAAATCAGTAAAATCTACCTTTGCCTACTTTGGGCATGTTTGAACTTGAAAATACACCATTTTTTCCCCTCAGTATAAATTTTTTCTATTTCTAAGGTCTTAACAAACGTAAATGAAAAAATCGGGCATATCGTTTTGAAATTTCCTAACAAAAAAAAAATCAAAGGACTATAGCACACGAAAATTGTTAAAATCTACCTTTGCCCTCTTTTGGACTCGTTTGAACTTGAATATGCATTATTTTTTCCCGCAAGACGAATTAATTCCATTTCCAAGGTCTTAAAGAACATCCGTAAATAATTTCAGTCATTTTATTTTGTGATTTCTAGATAAAATAATTTATGGGCTATAGCACACGAAATTTTTTAAAATATTCCTTTCCTTGCTTTATGTCTCATTTGAACTTCAAAAGGCACCATTTTTTTCTGGGGGATTCATTGGTTCCAAAAAAATTTTTGGACGTCCGTCAATACCTTGTCTATTAAGCCAGTTGGCCATCACGGCTTGTCCGACCCATTTGGAAGGTCAAACGAGCTCCGAAGCGAGCATACCCCTCATTTCGACGATTTTCGTGTGCTATAGCACATGATTTTTTGGGTGATCCGGATTCCGGCGTCAAAAATGCCAAATTTTTTCGTGGACGTCCATCAAGACCTTGTCTATGCATACGGTTGGCCATAACGGCTTGTCCGACCCATTTGGAAGGTCAAACGAGCCCCGAAGCGATCATACCCGTCATTTCGACGATTTTCGTGTGCTATAGCACACGATTTTTTGGGTGATCCAGATTCCGACGTCAAAAATGCCAAATTTTTTCGTGGACGTCCGTCAAGACCTTGTCTATGCATACGGTTGGCCATCACGGCTTGTCCGACCCATTTGGAAGGTCAAACGAGCCCTGAAGCGAGCAGACCCCTCATTTCGACAATTTTCATGTGCTATAGCACACGATTTTTTGGGTGATCCGGATTCCGACGTCAAAAATGCCAAATTTTTTCGTGGACGTCCGTCAAGACCTTGTCTATGCATACGGTTGGCCATTACGGCTTGTCCGACCCATTTGGAAGGTCAAACGAGCCCCGAAGCGAGCGTACCCCTCATTTCGACGATTTTCGTGTGCTATAGCACATGATTTTTTTGGTGATCCGGATTCCGACGTCAAAAATGCCAAATTTTTTCGTGAACGTCCGTCAAGACCTTGTCTATACATACGGTTGGCCATCACGGCTTGTCCGACCCATTTGGAAGGTCAAACGAGCCCCGAAGCGAGCATACCCCTCATTTCGACGATTTTCGTGTGCTATAGCACACGATTTTTTGGGTGATCCGGATTCCAACGTCAAAAATGCCAAATTTTTTTCGTGGACGTCCGTCAATACCTTGTCTATGCATACAGTCGGCCATCACGGCTTGTCCGACCCGTTTGGAAGGTCAAACGAGCCCCTAAACGAGCATACCCCTCATTGCGACGATTTTCGTGTACTATAGCACATGATTTTTTGGGTGATCCGGATTCCGACGTCAAAAATGCCAAATTTTTTCGTGGACTTCCGTCAAGACCTTGTCTATGCGTACGGTTGGCCTTCACGGCTTGTCCGACCCATTTGGAAGGTCAAACGAGCACCAAAGCGAGCATACCCTTCATTTCGACGATTTTCGTGTGCTATAGCACACGATTTTTCGGGTGATCCGGAATCCGACGTCAAAAATGCCAAATTTTTTCGTGGACGTCCGTCAAGACCTTGTCTATGCATACGGGTTGCCATCACGGCTTGTTCGACACAATTGGAA